CTAGTTTTACGAGGCAAATATAACATGAATAATCAAATCTGATAAAGAGGCACTAAAAAAATTTTTGTCTTTTGTGAATGATACTTTTTTGTACAATTTTATTCCCAATCTTTAATACAGAAATTGGTTTGTTTTGGGCCGGCCCCGTGGCTTAGTGGTTAAGCGAGTGTGCTCCGCTGCTGGCGGCCCAGGTTCGGATCCCAGGCACGCACCGATGCACTGCTTCTCCGGCCATGCTGAGGCCGAGTCCCACATACAGCAACTAGAAGGACGTGCAGCTATGACATACAACTATCTACTGGGGCTTTGGGGTAAAAATAAATAAATAAAATTATATATAAAAAAAAGAAATTGGTTTGTTTTGATTTTCTTTCTCTACTGGAATCAATTTTGCTCAATATTTTTCCTAGGAAATTATACATTTCATCTGTACTTTCAAACTTATTTGTGCCAAATAGTGTAAAATAGGCTCTTATGATTTTTAAGTGTTCTGATTTTGCCTTTCTTACATGTTTTCTCTCTTTCCACTCCACCTACCCCCCCACCTTTTTGATTAGATTAGCTTCTCAGCCTCTCAGCTGCCTCTTCCAGAATTCACAGATGCCATTAGGTGCTCACTTTTATAGGTTTCTTCCTTCTGAATCTTGGCCTCTTGATTCTTCACTTTCTTGGTAATCCCTCAATGCCTTAGCAAAGATCTTTTTATATTTTGTCCAGATTTTCTAGCCCTCAGCAAGAGGGTTAGTTTGAATTACATACTCTACCATTTTACTGGAAATGGAACTCCTATGTGTCATTTTATGATTTAAAAATAAAAAAGCCTTCAAAGAAATTTTGTGTAAAACACATATTCACTCTCTTCAGTGGACAATTCAAACAATATGTAAGTCATAGTACTGGCTGGGGTCTGACCTAAAGGAACACTTTTAGAGAATGTGTATTTTGGGGTTGTCTAGAGTTATTCTGGGGTTAATTTCTATTGATCCTTTCCACCACGCCTGTCTAAGAAAGTGAAGTTAAGCGTGGTAGATACAGAAAGAATGATGATTGGGTCACTGGCAGTTCAGATCTTTAACACAGGGGGGAGGTCTGAACTGGAGACATACTGTAAATCATCATTATGAGCTGTCAGTGGATAAGCTCACTAGATTCAGTTTATTGATGGTGGAAACCAGATTTCAGAAGTCAGGGAGGTAGAAGGTATGTGAAAAGGTAGAAGGCCTGCACAGCGGTTTGCCTTGCTCTTTTGGTAAGACTGCCTTCGCCAGATAATTTTGGCTATGCCACATAAGTCACAAGACCTAGCAGTTTCAACACCAACCACCTGCACACACACATACTTTAGGATACAGAACTATATATAACCATGTTATAATTAGCATTTGTGTGTGTGACAGGACCCCAGGACTCAACAGGTTCATTTGGATTCTTACACGTTCTCTGAAACAATGGTTGTGGGGGGTGTGTGTGTGTATATGTGTGTGTGTTGGGGTAGGCGGGAAGACTGGAATGCTACCCAAGCACAGGCACCAAAGGGGCTGCGGGTGGGGGAAAAAGGTGAATCTGGCATCCAAACTTCAGGAAGCACAGGGCCTGGAAGATGGTTCTGGATCCAAGGATCTCAGCAGCAAGAGTTAAACCAGGAGTAGACATAAGCAATTTGTTGGTATCAAGTTTGACCACTTTTGAAATGCTAAAGACGTCTCTCTCAGAGTAAAGAAAGTGCCTTTTATCCTTTTGTTTTCCCACAGTTCCTAGCAGTGTTCACTGAATGTAAAAATAGGAAATGAATTAATCACTGCTCTACTAGAGAAAACTTCGTTGAATCTACACTCAATTAGACAAGACATTACATACTTATGGCTACATGTAAAACAAAATTTGAATACTATAATCCCCTCACCACTAGTGTTTTGTAATCAACCTTTTCAAACTTCTTCCCTTCTACAGTAAGCCAATAAATTATAGTTCTGGAAGCTCTACAAAATTTATCTTGGCTTTCTTTCTAGTGATGTCCTTATGCTGGATTGTATACTTATACAGTGTTTTAAAAATTTGGTTATATGTTATACACTTAATCCTGATTTAAAAAAAATCTGTAATGAACGCCTACATAGATTTTTGCAGTATTACTAAGTCATGCCAACATCTATCACAGTGTGTATATTCTGCAAGAAGGTGACAAACTAAAAAAGCATCAACGACACTGCATTGTATATTTAATAATTACAGTAAAAATGTTTTGGTAGATTTTATTCACATAAAATTTTTTCATCATAAGCAAAGTTGTTAACCATGAATTCAAACAGTATAGTCAAAATATATTTAACTTAAGGCACTACATACAAATGTCTTTAAAGCACACTCATGTCATTTTATTTACACACTATTTAAAGAACTGACAATAAATACACACTTTCCATCTCATGTTTGTCCTTCATTTGTAGCTTTACATATACACAATGAAGTAAAACCCTCCAAATAAAAAGAATTAAATGTAATCATCTTTAAAGCTTACCAAATATGGGCAAGAGAGAGAGACAGCCAAGAAAAATGTACAGGCATTTTTAATCCTTTAATGTTACAAAAATTTATCCTTAAATTCTTACACTAAGCTTAATGGAACAATAACACAAAGCCTATAGTACAGAGCATTGAAATCATTTTTATTCTACTGCTGTTTACCAGAAGAACTCACACATTAATAACAGCAGCAGGACTGTCTCTGTTATAAGTAAAAATGTCCTTATTCTGAATTCACTCACTGACTTAACAAAAAACATTTAATAAAAAGTTTTCCTATTACCTTTGAGTATTGGTGTCATAAACAGTTAAATGTTTCCAGAGCCATATACTGTCTACCACCCAGACAACATAGCAGCATACTAGTCAACTATTTAACAAAATATGCACCAAAACCTTAATGTAAAAGGCTAGCTAGCTTCATTCAAAGGTTTTCTCAGTGTACTAGAGGAGGCTTGGCTGTACAGGGATAATTTTTTAAAGATACAAATGAATTAACACAAAATTCAATATAATAATATATAAACATCTCTGATTAAATAAATACTGTACTTCTCCCATCAACATATACATTAAAAATTTACAATTCTCATTAGAGTTAATATTTTGAGAATGGAATGAAAGCCCAGACAAACAGGTAAATGTCTTTTATTCAAAGGGTTAAAACACTGACCAGGCTTCCCTTCCTATTCCACCCTATACAAACTCCACTCACAGACTGGATGCCACGTATAGATTTCTGAAACTCACAACCACCGATCGAGCTAACGCACTCACTAAGACAACACCATTGCAAGGACCAAGCTCTACTCAACTAGTATAAGGTATCCTGCTATATTATCTTAGACACTCCAAAAAATGTCCACTGTTTTAAAGGTGACTATTCTATTCCTTTTGTTTTTGTTTTTAAATGAAGTAGAAAGAAATTTTTCTATTATTTCCTTCAGAGCAACTATTAACCTTTAGGTTAACTTTTATGTGAGGAAAAAAAATCAGAAATTTGTCAAAAAGCAAAATTAGTCCTATTGGTTTTATTTCACTTATTACGCTATTCTTTAAAACAGTCAATTTATGACCAATAGCATGGACTATTTATGCAGGGTGTGGAAATGCTTCTCAAGAACCCCAAATACAACAGGCACTAAATACCAGGGTCAGGAAATCGGCAGTGACCAAATAGGGTGAATGGTACGTTTGATGACTGGCACCATTGTTCCTTACTATCAGTTAAATAACATTTAACAGGGCTGCATATTTACTGTAGATTATTTTGTATCTGCAAAACAGTTACCTAGTTTATTTTATATTGTCAACACTTTAAAGATCACACTATTAATTGCTTGCCTCAGGTCCTGATAAATGGTTCTTGAGCCCCATTTTTCCTCTAAGATATAATCTAGTCTGCGGCAACTCAGGTTCATCATATTAAGTTTGATTACTAGAAGGTACCACCTAGCAAAGGTAGGGTGACAGTTCTTCACAACAAATCCTTAGCTCTGAACAAATATGTTTAAAAAAATATGAGCAGAGTGATTATTTCTATGAACCAAATACTGGAGAAAAAGGCAGAGGCAGCACCCAGGCTACCGAATATTAACAGAATGCTCCAAGTTTATTCTGCCACTTAATACATGAATAACATAAAAGATCAAAAGATACTAAATTCCATTTTAAATTTAACTACTCTATTGCCTGTAAGGCATAAAAGTCCCAAAAGTAAATACAAAAATCTCTCTTCCTCATTCCGACCCAATCAAAACCAGATATGTATTCAGGTCATAAATTTTTCTGCAACACCTTTGGTTACAATAAACAACACGAGAAAGTTAAAAATGGTAACAAAAATTACTGAATTTTTAAAAATTATGATTTTAACTTGTGAGTTAGAAGAAAATAAATATGAAGTGCAAATACAACCTTTCCTGAGAGCCGTGTTCAATGGGAATGGGGAATCCTGCCTACAGTCCAGTCCACCTCTGACTTCCTCCTATAAGTCGCGTCAAGTCTGCACACACACGCATGCACAACTAAATAACTTACACAAAGTCATTAAGCACAGAGAAAAGTACTTTTCTCTCTTTTCTTAATTTCTTATTAGCAATAATCTTCAAAACATAAGACTTTTGAAACTTCAACAGCTTAAGGGTCTTAAGAAAGACACAATGGTGAAGACTCAAGCTTTGTATCACATGGTCTTTGTTTTTTATAATAGCTTTTCTTAAAATAATTTGTTCATATGCTAGATCTTTTCAGCCTGGTTAATACATTTTATTAACCATCACAGAGAATTTCCTACCTCCAGGGTTTACTTGGGATACAAACTCTATTTTTTCTTTTTTGTGAGGAAGACCAGCCCTGAGCTAACATCCGATGCCAATCCTCCTTTTTTGCCCAAACTCTATTAAAGGTAAATATAAAAATATAGGAAACTTTCCCTCCCTGATAGGCAAAATCCACTAATTGCATAAAGATTTCTATTGTTTCACTTACAAATATAAAAATTTATTAGAAAAGCATGCCTACTAAATTTTGGTATATTTTATCTAAAGATGTGTCAAATCTTCATTGCAGAAAGAAAAAAAGGCAGAGGCAGTATTTTTCTTAAAAAACATTTCTAGTCAGAGAAATAGTTGGTGTTAACTAATGATTTACTAGCAATTTTTACTATGGTCAGAGTTTTTTCTATTAGCTAATGCACCAAAACAAAACAAAATAATTTTAGCATGCTGGGTCTAAGTTCTTTGTCTTCCGAAGTATACTTTTCCATAGTTATAACACCATTCCTTGGGTGTACCCTTAGTTCTGTGACTAACCAAAGACATTTTGTATAAACCTCAGCACATGTTACCCAATTAAAGGATCATCATCATCTTCCTGTAGCTGAAGTCGGGAAAATGTATGGGGTACAGCGAGTCTATTCTGCATGATTATTATGAGGCACGTTAGAGTGGTTAAGACCAAGAGTGCACCAATAACAATTCCAATGGCTTCTGGGAGGTTAATGCACCACTGGTCAACTAACAAACACTTAGTATGACCAAAGGTTCCATTATTGGGATGTGGCTTTAATCCCAGGATATGGCACATCATTGGATAAATATCCACAATGTGAATTGTGCTGTGTTTGTAGCCTTTGTGAAATGCAGGGCCGTGGGCAGCTAGAAACGGATGCATACTAGGCAAAGAATTATCATAACCATGGTCACCTACTGAAAAAGAAGAAAATTATGTTAGTAAATAAGATCAGTCTTTCTATTAAAAAATAATTTGCTTCTAGTGTAAATATACTAGATTCTTGCCAGTGTAATTCTCACCCATTTAAATTCTGATTAGTTAGACCAGATAGGGGCCAGAAATAAAATTTTCTTCAACTCAACCTTGTCCCCTTACTTCACACACACACCCCTTTTCCCAATTGGTCATAGCTTCAGGCTTTAAAACTATTTCTCAACGTGATATACTTACCTTTCAGTCCTAGCCCCACTTATTTCACCTGTCAACCTCCAGCACTGTTTGCAAAAGCCCACTGCAAACAGCACCAGTGATAAAAAGAGTGGTCGGGCTGAGAGTCCTGAACAACTGGGGAGAGGAGAAGTGAGGGAAACCAGTGAACAGGGAAGAAGGGAACCTCTGGCCTCACCTATGTCTATTGCTCCTGTGATAAGAAACAGAATTATGTAATCCACTACTGGTTTATTGACAGTTAATGAACACCTCAACATCTGGAAGGTCAGGTAATTGAGAATGTTACAGAAGGGATTCTGGCATTGAATGTGAAGTCTAACCAGATGACTCCAACTTGTAACTCCAGTAAAAGTATAACTCAAAGAAAAACGTGATGGCCCCTGATAAAACTCCAATACCAGATTCTCAATTTTTAGCTTTATTTTAACAAGCATTGCCTTTTAATGTACACCCGTTGCATTTAATCAGCTCCCACTTTCATATGAAGTGCAGGTGACTGAGTGATGAGTCTATCAACGTTTGTTACATTATTCTTTAATTGCATGTTTGAAATATTTCATAATAAAAATAATGCAAGTGATCAATAAAAAGCAGAACATAACATTACATATAGGTATTATGATTTCAATAATGTAAAAATCTGCAAGTATATGTAATAGAAAAAAAATAAGAAGAGAGGAAATTCCCACAATTAACATTTGTCTGTACCTCTATATTGAGGAATTACGGATAGTTTTTGTTCTCTTTTCTAAACTTTTCAGTATTTTCCAAGTTTTCAACAATGAACATATAACATAAATAGAGGTAATATATAAATTCTTCATCTTATCCTTGCCTGATATTTCTGAATTGCTATAGATCAGGGATCTGCAGACTACAGTCCCCGGCCACATTCAGCTCTCCACCTATTTTTATAAGCAAAGTTTCGTTGGAACCCCTATGTCAGTTTGTTTAGACATTGTCCATGGCTGCTTCCCCCACTATAAAGGCAGAATGGAGTAGTTGAGACAGAGTCTAACTGGCCCACAAAGCCTAAAATATTTACTATCTGGCCTTTTATAGAAAAAGTTTTCTGACTCCTGCTACAGACTACAAAATCAGATTTTTAAAGAAAATATTCGGATTGAATTTAACATATGGATAAATAAGCTTCAGTTCAGGGAAGACCTGTAACTCTCCCCTCTGCATTTTCTTAGTTTTAGGCGAGATACAACTCTCTCTGTATTTAGGAGATACAATTATTTTATTTACTTGGTAGATTTTTGTTTACTTTCTGGTTATTGCCCAGTGTTCTAAATAGCCGTAGCTTTCAGGTAAAATTGGGAAAGGCTTAGGCTTACTTGGACAAATTTTTTTAACATCCCAAAATAAAAAGGAATTTGAACTAGCTAATCTCTCCCCTTTTACTTTGTTTCTTTATTTCTCTCTCTTTTATTTTCTTTGTTTCTTTACTTCTCTCTCATTTTCTACAGATCAAGAGAACCAATCTGAAAGTTACTGGCAGTCATTGCAGTTTTGACAAGAAAGTAACACTACACCTTCACGCTTCAAGTCATCCAACCTTCTAATCTAAGAGTGAAATTGTGCTCACTGTAAATTGCTACTGAATGAAAACCTGAAAATGGAATGAAGACCTGAGAATTATCCAGTTGAAAACTGAACTAATTATACTGTGTCAACATCTCTAAGTCAAAGCATGCTGTTAACAAAACAATGTCACAATGTGTGACTTAGCTCTAGGATACCACAGAAATATCCTAAATAAATACTCACGTTTTGGTAATGATTTATTTTGCACAATTGTCCAGCCTTCATCAGCAACCAAAATAATAGGCTGAATTCGATCATTATGTTGGTAATGAAATCTACCAGGAATCTCTTCTTTGAGGTAAACATTCATGTGAGGGTGACATTTTTTCAGCTTGTTATAAACCTCAGTTCTATCTGGAAGAAGAAGGAAATAGCAAAGGAAAAAAGTCATGGTTGACTGATAAGGAAAAAAATATATCTAACTGGAATAACTGGATACAAATCCTGAACAATGTCATCTACTAAATCACTTTTAATTCTTGAAAAAAAAAACCAGAGCAATAATAATTATGTGACAGTGTTGGGGACTGATACACACACACACCTTTCCAAGCATTCACATATCTCTTTTTCCATTTTGACCATCCCTGGTGGACTTTTACACAACAGGGACAATTTTCAAGTCTAGCTTCCTAAGTAAATATAAACTAATTACATATTACTACTAATTCTAGGATCAGTAGACAAAAGGTGTATCTCACACAAAAATCCAAGATGTTTTTCAAGGCTAAAAATTTCCTTTTTTCGGGCCAGCCCAGTGGCATAGTGGTTAAGTTCGCGCTCTGCTTCGGCGTCCCAGAGTTCACAAGTTCGGATCCCGGGCGCAGATCTACACACCGCTTATCAAGCCATGCTGTGGCAGGCGTCCCGCATATAAAATAGAGGGAGATGGGCACAGCTGTTAGCCCAGGGCCAATCTTCCTCCGGAAAAAGACAGGGATTGGCAATGATGTTAGCTGAGGGCTAATCTTCCTCACCAAAAAAAAAAAAAAAAAAAATTTCCTTTTTACATTAGTGTGAATAATTAAGAAATATACCAAAAAGCAAAGAAATAATCACTCTGAATCTAAACCTTAAGCTAATTGCTTAAAAACTTGTAAATTAGGGGGAAAAGCACATAATCCAACTCTGAGTAAGTGTACAAGCATATGGTGCTGAACCACTAAAAGCCAGAGCTTCGTTCTTTTATAAAACCCTCCCTCCTCAATCAATTGCCCCATTCAAATATCCCTCAGCTAAAAGTTTATTTACTTATTTTGGGAAGTATGGCAGCAACTGGGGTCCAATCTATAAGAGTGTAGTCTGAACGACTGATGCAGGAATCCAAGTTTATCAGTCTGTCCTGAGAACACTGGGTCATGCCATGATCACTTGTAATGATGACATTAATATTTTCCCACAGTCCTGACATCTTGAGTTTGTGGACGAGGTCACCGATAAGGTCATCTATTTCTTTCAACACTCTGTGCATGTTTTCTTTATCTTCGGGTCCGTATTTGTGGCCACTTGCATCTGGTTCTTCCCAATAGAGTGTTGCAAAGGTGACCGGTGGGTTCGCATTGCTCAGCCACGTGGTAACGTTATTTAGTCTCTCCTCAAATGACACCGAGGAGCTATAATTCATAAAGTAGGAAGGTGTGGTATTGTGAATGGGCACATCGGTACCAGGCCACATAGCAGCAGCACTTGATCTGTTTCCCTGAAGCTGATTGGTCACCCAAATAGGTACCGCCTCATTCCACCAAAAAGGATCCTTGTCATCAAAGTCAGAAAAATGTTTCTTGGTCATTACATCATACATAGAATTAGCCACAATGCCATGGCTTTCTTCATACAAGCCTGTCACAATACTGTAGTGGTTTGGAAACGTCTTTGTGATAAAAACATTTTTAACGTGCTCTACCAAGACACCTTCTTTGATAAAATTCTGGAGATGTGGAAATTCATAGTTCTGTAGATAGTCGGCTCTGAAGCCATCAAAGGATACCAGGAGTAACTTGGGTGGCAAATTATAGGAAGAGTTACCTCTACAACCAGGTATAAGTCCAGAAAATAAAAGTATTACTAATAACTTCATAATGAATGTGTTGCAGGACAGCAATCAGGGTTCCTAAAACATAAAAACAGAATTCATAAGTACTAAGGCTACTTGATTTGGATTAGGTCTCAAAAGTTTAGCCATCGGGAGAAGAGAACCAACATTTGCTATAAACTTTTTGTATACCAGCTTTACCAACATCAACTTAAAAATTAAATAATGCCATTTACTGAAAGACAACTAAATGAAGCTAAAATTGGAAAAAATAAAAATTGCCTCTACTTGTCCAATTTCCTAGTCATATACGTCCTGCCCCATCCCTCACGCTCTGAAGGGGAAAGGGAACATTCTTATCCTCCACATAAACACTCCTGTTCGGCCGCCTTGCTTGTCTGCCGCAGCAGCAATTATTTAAAGGCTTAATGAGAACAGATGAAGAAATAAAAATGACTCTTTTCCACAAAACAGAAATAACGCCAAGCTTTCAGAGGCTCTAGAGAGGGAGATTATTTTTCTAGTCTAATGACTGGTACCCTATAGCTCCTTTTAACCCACAGAAATAGGTGGTGGAAATTCTACCGTATTGGCTCATCACCAGTTCTTGTTGAAAAATACTGGCGTAAGAAAGGGGAATAGGAAATAAATATTATTTGAGAGAAAGGTCCCACCTCAATCTGTACCTGCCCAATATTCATATGAGGCTGACAAACAGACAAAGCCTACAGGGACGTGGATGTCAAGTCATTACCCACAACAAAGTCATTACCCACAACCAAATTACTCGCCAGAGTACTGCTAGCAACAGCCTAAAACTCAAAGGACTTACCTTCCAAAGAAATCCAACAGCTGTTGAAATGAATTTCATCACCACATCTCTCTTAAACTTCCCCTTTACTCTCAAAGACACAACTATCCTACCTAATACCCCAGGCTCAGAGCTCTCCCTGATTTTTCGTTCTTTTTTAACAATCCACTGATTACAAAAACAGCATTCCCCTAATAAACCTCCCTGCCTTCAGTCTCTATCTTCTTTGGTCCCTAAGAAAATAGGATACGTGATTTATGTAGACTGATTCACTGCAGATGGGCACATCGCTTCCATTCTAACAGGAGAGAAGGAGCAAAGGAGAAAGCTAACAGGTTTGAGGGCTGGAGGTGAAGGGAGCTGCATTCTTTGTGTTGCAAGAGGTAGGGTCAATCATTGAGAAGGAGGAGGGTAGCAAAAGGTTCAGAGGGTTGAGGAACACAGAGAATGTCTGAAATGGCCAGTGTGGGGAAGGCGAGAGAGCACAAGGAAACAGTAGGGTTGGTGGTCAGTGTTGACAGCAGATGCCATGAATTTCTAGAGTGACACTGTTGATTGGCTTTCTCTAGCAATTCAGTGGCCCCGGCACGGCCATGAATGAAACAGGCAGCTGATCCTACCTGGGCTTGCGACTCTGCCAGAAACTGAAGTATGACTAAGGAAGTTGAAGATGCTGTAAAAGAGTGGTTGAAATCTGAGCTGCGGCATCTACCTGAAACTGATACAGAGGCAAGAAACAGAGAGGTTTTGAGACTAGAGGTTCTGATGAAGTCAAAGAACAGGTGTTTTAAAATAACTTTCAGTGAGAGCAGCATGGATATGGGGTTGCGGTCAGAGTGAGGTGAGTGAATTACTTCAGAGTAAGAAGCCCTGAGGTATGGCCACGGGGGTGAGCGCCTAGAGGTCCCAGGTGTAAGCAGCAGCGAGCTAACTGATAGGACAATGACAATGACGTTCAGGAGTTATGTATTGTGTGTTCTTCTTTCTCCCAACTAGACTGCAATTACTTGAAGGCAGAGACTTGCTTCCTTTCAAACATGCCACCTAGATCATCTGGGTAGGTATAATCATTCAAAAACTTACTGATTGAAGCTGTGACTCTCTGAAAACCAGGGACTTAAAATTTTGAAAACCAAAGGCACAGAATCTTGTTTGTGAGGATCTTTGGATCTGGAAAATCTCTACCATTCTAACCTGAGATGGGCTGCCTTCTGAGTGTGGTGCATGGATCATCTGTTGCTGGTGCCATCCAAGAAACCAAAAACAGTACGGAGTAACGAAATATTTGTTTCCGATAACAGAGTAGACTAAAACAGTAAATAAGTAGCACAGTATCTTTAATATACTCATAAATCTATTTAAAAAAAATTTCTTTATTTACTGCCCTGGCTCTGTCCTGAATAACCAGTCTACATTCCCAACCAATCCCACAGCAAAAACTATTCTGCTGGCAAGTCAAATCTGATACATGTCAAACAATGCATTCTTTGCACCTCCAAATGTCTCCCTTTCTTTAGTTCCCAAATCCTTTAAAACAGCCTCACCATTCTCTCAGGCACATAGAGAGGTCCTGAGGACACCATCAGTTGCCAGCCTAGTCAATTCTGTCTTCGTATCAGCTACTATAGCATAGTAGACATAAGACTCACTGAGGGGGGCTTGTTAAACGTGCAGCTGTCTAGTCTCTCCACTTAGGAAATTCTGATTCAGTCAGTCTAGAGAAGAGGCCGGGAGCCTGCATTTTCTACAGCTATCTATTCTTTTCCATCTCCATCGCTGCCATACTTCTTGAAGTCCTCCATACCTCCTGTCCAGAGCACATCTGTCTCTTAACTGATCTTCCAACCTCGATCACCTTCCTCCTTCTCACCCAATATCTGCTTCCAATTTCATCTTCCTGGGCAAAGCTCTGTTCATGACACTTCCCCAACGAAAAAAAAATGTTCAAAGAATCCCCCTGCCTATACAAAAATCCCACCAAACACCTCAGCCCGGCATTCAAGCTCTCCCATTATCCAGGCCCAACCCACACGCAAATTACTATGAAATAGTTACAGAAATAATGGCCAACCTTGATTTCCATTTACCATACTTCACTATCACTATCTGTCTGAAATGTATTACAAAGACACGTAGAAGACAATAACCATTTATCTAGGTGACCTACAGGTGACCCGTAACAACTCTTCAGGAACAGTCTGTGTTTCCAAAACATCCTAAAGTTATTTCCTACACATGAAGTCTTACCCAAACACTCTTTTAGGTCATTTAAAAAAAATCATTCAATAAATACTTAATATAACTAAGTCTATAACATAACAATTTATGTATGTCATTTATCAGAATACAAGAGCTTTATACTTTTCAAATATATAATACTCAAAATAGGGGCATAAATAATCAAAATAATGAATCAGGCTGTCATCTTGGAAGAACAAAGACAAGCTTGAATGAACTTTGTTCTACAACGCCAAAACTTCCTTGTAATGCTGCACTTGAGCTCCAGACACTATAAAGTATTGTTTTTAAAACTAAGCCCTTCAAGGAATTACTAAGAATGGAATATCACAGTATGTCTAAAAGTTTTCCAACAGAGTTACCTCTAAGAGCAGAGGCGTGCCAAGACAATTCAACAAATGGTGCCAGGACAATTGGATATCCACATGCAAAAGAATTACTTTGGACCCCTCATCTCATTCCATACACAAAAATTAACTCAAAATGGATCACAGACCAAAATTAGAGCTAAAACTATAAAACTCTTAAAAGAAAATATAGGAGTAAATCTTCATGACCTTAGGTTAGGTGAAGTCTTTTTAGATACAGCACCAAAAGCACGAGTGACCAAAAAAAGAAACAAATTGAACTTAATCAAAATAAAAAACTTGTGTGTTTCAAAGGCTATCATGAAGAAAGAGAAACAACCCACAGAATGGGAAAAAATACCTGCAAATCATATATCTGATAAGGGATTTACATCTAGAATATACAAAGAACTGTAACAACTCAATAATAAAAAGTCAAATTCAATTAAAAAATGAGTGAAGGATCTGAAAAAACATTTCTTCAGAGATACAGATGGCAAACAAGCACATGAAAAGGTGTTCAACATCATTACCCTCAGGGAAATGCAAATGGAAACCACAATGAGACACCACTTCACACCCACGAGGATGGATATAATCAAAAAGATAGATAACAAGCAACGGCGAAGATATGAAGAAACTGGACCTTTTATACACTGCTGGTGGGAATGTAAAATGGTGCAGTTGGAAAACATTCTGGCAGTTCTTCAAAAGTTTAACAGTTAACATATAACCCAGCAATTCTAATACTAGGTATACGCCCAAGAGAAATTAAAACATATGTCCATGGTAAAACTTGTATACAAATGTTCATAGCAGCATTATTACTAAGAACCAAGAAGAGGAAACAACTCAAATATCCATCAAATGATAAACGGATAAACAAAATGTGTTATATCCATACAATGGAATATTATTTGGCAATAAAAAGGAATGAAGTACTAATATATGCTACAACTTGGCTAACCCTTGAAACATTATGCTAAGTGAAATAAGGCAGTCACAAAAGATCCTTATTGTATGATTCTATTTAGACGAAATGCCTAGAATATGCAAACCTACAGAAATTAAAGTACATTAGTAGTTGCCTAGGGCAAGTAGTTAGGGAGAAATGAGAAGTCAATGCCAATGGGTATGAGGTTTCTTTTTGGGGCAATGAAAATGTTCTCAAATTGATTGTGGTGATGGTTGTACAGCTCCATAAAATTGTACGCTTTAAATGAGTGAACTGAAGAGTACGTGAATCATATCTCAATAAAAATACATTAAAAAAAAGAGTGGAGGGAAATGAAATTTTAATCTTACAAGCATCTGAAGTGCCCTGCCACAAGACAGGAAACATCTTTGATTTCTCATTTTACCTCAAAAAGTATGTGAAATTGGCACTCCATAATAGACTTGGGTGTTTTAATGTGAAAATATTTTATGCCACTTCCCATATGCAAAACAACAAACAAAAACCCATGTCTGCTCCTCTCTCTCACAAAATACACACAAATCAAAATCTTTCTTCCCCAAATCTTGAGTGGAAAGGATGCTCAAGGTACAAGTATTATAGTTAAAGTGGGAAGATTATCAAGTGGAAAGATTATAGGCTCTGAAATCAGAAGGATCCTAGAACTTGAGCTCACACTTAGTAGAGGGGCGATCTTGGGCAGATCTAACTTGTCTCAGTTTCAGTTTCTTTGTGTGTAC